TCTTGAACAGCAACTCTGGGGCCAAGCACGGCGTGAACGTGTTGTCAGCGTTCAGGCCCGCCTTGTCCAAAAAACCTCGGAGGCAAACCTGTTGAGGTTCGGTGTGGGACCGCAGCGGTCTGGCACAGAAACCGCCCACAGCCGCGGAAGAGCATGGCCTGGCAGATGTTGGCATCAGTACCGAGGATAACCAAAGGCGTAAAACCTTGTGCAAAGGCCTTCTGCATCGCGATGCTGATGTTATCCAGTATTGCATTCAAAGTGTCACTGCATATAACTCCCCCGCCCGAAAAATCCAGAACGAGCCCGGATACCAAGATAAGATTTTGGAGTGCCACTATACTGAACGCGTTCGAATGTCTCTCCCAAATAATATCGGCAACCAATGCAGATGGCACGGTACGCCACAATCGCTGCCTACTGATGTTCTCACCGACAACCCAGATGACATCGTGCAGCCCCAACGTGGGATTTCTTGAAGTGCTCCAAATAGTTTCCTGCCGTCAAGCTTGCGGATATCTTTGAGGACATGTTTTGCTCTGGAAAACGGCCGCTTTTGGGTCAGGAAACGAATTCAATAGTTGAAGAAACACCTCCTCGGGCATCCTCGCCGTCATCCGAGAAACGCCTAGAGCCTGCAGCTCCTGGGCAAAGGTGATGTGTGCTCAAAGGGATACGTTTAGAAGCTCTGTGGTCACCTCCACTCTGCGCCATCCTATAATGTAACCTCCCTAACCTCTCGCATCGACCAGCCAATTTTTGTGCAGCTTGCTTCAAGCGCTTCTCCAAGGGCTCGAGCTTTTTGCGGAGTTCCGTCTGCATGACCTCCACAAGCTGTTCATCCAGACCTGGAAATGCGGAAGAGATAGATAAGATTCTGGCGTCCATCTCGTCCCGGAGCGACTGAAGATCTTGTCGCCCAGGCTCAATTGCCTGCTGCATTGCCGAGAGTTCATTTTCAAGCCCCCCTGCCTCCGCAAACCTTCTGCTCTGCCCAGCCTGGCTGCCAGCTGCGCCCCCCGTCTTAAGCAAAATGAGAGTTCCATCGGCAAGAATCCTCGGCATACGTGGGACCTTGAGCTCCTTGAGCTCCTTGAGCCTTGAGCCAAAATGGCTTGATTCGGTACCCCCCTCGCACGTTTCGTGGCCCCATAGGGAGCTCCACCGAAGGCTCCAGTGGCGGCGTTCGCATGCGTCCCCGCTACCCGTTTCGACACACTCCGCACACGTTTCGTGGCCCCATAGGGAGCTCCACCGAAGGCGCCATTGGCGGTGTTCGCATGCGTCCCCGCACCCGATTCGGCACACCCCTCAACGGTTTCGTGGCTCCGTGGGGAGCTCCACGGGCGGTGTTCGTATGCGTCCCCGCAACCCGTTTCGGCACACTTCGCACACGTTTCGTGGCCCCATGAGGGCTCCATCGAAGGCCCCGGCCGAAGAGCTACGCTGCTTCTCCAGGGGGTGGCCCGTGGGTGAGAAACCGGGCGAGGCGCATCGCGGAGGGAGGGAGGGAGCAGGAGGGAGAGAGGGGGAGGAGGGAGGAAGGATGAGGGATGAGAGGGAGGGAACGAAGAGGAGGGATGGAGGGAGGGAGGGAGCAGGAGGAGAGGGAGGATGAGGCGGAGGAGTAGGATGAGGAGTAGGAGAAGGAGGATGCGGTGGAGGAAGGATGGGGGAGGATCGGCCGCGAGAGTGCTTAGGTCACGTTGAGAAATTGTATCTTGTGAACATCGATTGTTTTTCTTTACGGGCCTGGCGTCATGGGGTCCCAGCCATTATGGAGCACCCAGCGCACAGCACACATGTTCCAGTATGTCCCAGTGTTTGGTTGCTGCCCGAGATCCATCCCCTCGTTGCCCGACAGGGTGTTTCGGTGCCAGAGTTGTCAAGCCTGCAGTGCTCTTGTATGGACACCAGAGTGCAGGCCATGGCGAGAGGGCTTCCTATGCAATTATTAATCGCTTCGCTCATTCCGCCGGCCCATACAGTCTCATGTCTGCCGTTTGCCCGAGGGCCTGGTGTCAATGCGGCGCTTTGGGGGTTCCTGGGGCCGCTTGGGGGACTCCTGGGGCGCTCGGGGGGGCATTTGGGGGGCCTCCTGGGGCCGCTTGGGGGACTCTTGGGGGCCTCCTGAGGGCCTCGTGGGGGCCTCTTGGGGCCTCTTAGGGGCCTCTTGGGGCCTCGTAGGGGCTTCTTAGGGCCGAGGGCTCGAAATGTTGTTTCGTGTTCCCTCTCTGGGGCCCCTTTGGGGGCGTTCTTGGGGCCCTCTTGGACCGTCTTGGAGGCTTCTTGGGCCGTCTTCGAGCCCTCTTGGGCCATCTTGGGGCCCTCTTGGGGGCCTCTTGGGCCCTCTTGGGGCGATCTTGGGGGCCTCTGGGGCCGTCTTGGGGCGTCGGGAAGCCGAAAAGGTGGAAGCTCCAAAATCTCTCAAAAACCTAAGGACAAATTACGCTACCGAGAAACCCCACATACTGATTTTATGTCTTGTGTGAACTGCGCTACCACTACCACCGCCGTCACGCTCTCAGGTGCCCCCTGTGGTCGTTGAAAGGAGGGGGAGGACGTGTGGGGGGAGAGGAGGGGTTGAGGAGTCATCTGTGACGGTCATATCCGGCGTCGCCTGGCACTTGGATACGAGAGGTAATACGCAATCCCGCACTAGAGGCTATGCCTGGACGACCCTGGCACGCATAGGGAGACCACCCCCTGCGCACCCCCTCTGGTGTCGAGAAAATGCCACGCCTGCAATGCCTGGACGACCCTGGCACGCATAGGGAGACCACCCCCTGCGCACCCCCTCTGGTGTCGAGAAATGCCACGCCTGCTATGCCTGGACGACCCTGGCACGCATAGGGAGACCACCCCCTGCGCACCCCCTCTGGTGTCGAGAAAATGCCACGCTACGCCTGCCTGGACGACCCTGGCACTCATAGGGAGACCACCCCCTGCGCACCCCCTCTGGTGTCGAGAAAATGCCACGCCTGCTATGCCTGGACGACCCTGGCACGCATAGGGAGACCACCCCCTGCGCACCCCCTCTGGTGTCGAGAAAATGCCACGCCTGCAATGCCTGGACGACCCTGGCACGCATAGGGAGACCACCCCCTGCGCACCCCCTCTGGTGTCGAGAAAATGCCACGCCTGCTATGCCTGGACGACCCTGGCACGCATAGGGAGACCACCCCCTGCGCACCCCCTCTGGTGTCGAGAAAATGCCACGCCTGCAATGCCTGGACGACCCTGGCACGCATAGGGAGACCACCCCCTGCGCACCCCCTCTGGTGTCGAGAAAATGCCACGCCTGCTATGCCTGGACGACCCTGGCACGCATAGGGAGACCACCCCCTGCGCACCCCCTCTGGTGTCGAGAAAATGCCACGCCTGCTATGCCTGGACGACCCTGGCACGCATAGGGAGACCACCCCCTGCGCACCCCCTCTGGTGTCGAGAAAATGCCACGCCTGCTATGCCTGGACGACCCTGGCGCGCATAGGGAGACCACCCCCTGCGCACCCCCTCTGGTGTCGAGAAAATGCCACGCCTGCTATGCCTGGACGACCCTGGCGCGCATAGGGAGACCACCCCCTGCGCACCCCCTCTGGTGTCGAGAAAATGCCACGCCTGCTATGCCTGGACGACCCTGGCGCGCATAGGGAGACCACCCCCTGCGCACCCCCTCTGGTGTCGAGAAAATGCCACGCCTGCTATGCCTGGACGACCCTGGCACGCATAGGGAGACCACCCCCTGCGCACCCCCTCTGGTGTCGAGAAATGCCACGCCTGCTATGCCTGGACGACCCTGGCGCGCATAGGGAGACCACCCCCTGCGCACCCCCTCTGGTGTCGAGAAAATGCCACGCCTGCTATGCCTGGACGACCTGGCGCGCATAGGGAGACCACCCCCTGCGCACCCCCTTTTGTGTCGAGAAAATGCCACGCCTGCTATGCCTGGACGACCCTGGCGCGCATAGGGAGACCACCCCCTGCGCACCCCCTGGTGTCGAGAAAATGCCACGCCTGCTATGCCTGGACGACCCTGGCGCGCATAGGGAGACCCACCCCCTGCGCACCCCCTCTGGTGTCGAGAAAATGCCACGCTGCTATGCCTGGACGACCCTGGCGCGGCATAGGGAGGAAACCCCCTGCCACGCCTGCTATGCCTGGACGACCCTGGCACGCATAGGGAGACCACCCCCTGCGCACCCCCTCTGGTGTCGAGAAAATATGCCTGGACGACCCTGGCGCGCATAGGGAGACCACCCCCTGCGCACCCCCTCTGGTGTCGAGAAAATGCCACACCTGCTATGCCTGGACGACCTTGGCGCGCATAGGGAGACCACCCCCTGCGCACCCCCTCTGGTGTCGAGGAAATGCCACGCCTGCTATGCCTGGACGGCCCTGGCGCGCATAGGGAGACCACCCCCTGCGCACCCCCTCTGGTGTCGAGGAAATGCCACGCCTGCTATGCCTGGACGACCCTGGCGCGCATAGGGAGACCACCCCCTGCGCACCCCCTCTGGTGTCGAGAAAATGCCACGCTTGTTATGCCTGGACGACCCTGGCGCGCATAGGGAGACCACCCCCTGCGCAGCCCCTCTGGTGTCGAGAAAATGCCACGCCTGCTATGTCTGGACGACCCT